TCCGTCAGCCCGCTCCCCGCAGGGCTGAGCGGGTCGCGGGGGTGGGGGGGCAGCTCCATCAGCGCGGTCCCCTCCCGGGGTGAGCAGGAGCTTCCGGCTCCCCCTCCCCCCAGAGGGGCGGGAAAGCCTGGAGGAGCCCCTGGGCCGCCGGTGGGGACAACCACCCTCTCCCTGAGATATGGCCATCATTCAGACACCTAACTTCAGGGGTGTCTTACCAAAGTCCCAAACAGCACAGCCCCTTAGCGGCTCTGAGTGGACCGCTCTGTCCATCCCCAAACAGCCATTTTGCTGCTCAGAAAACACAGGTTAAAGACCTCAGGCTGGCTCAGGCATGGTCTACTTGAGGACATCAGAGCTGGGGATGAGCCTCCCTTCCTTCTGCAAACCCCCTGGCAGCTTGGCTCAGCCCTAGAGAGCTCACTGGCGGTCAGACGGAAGTGGTGTCCTTCCCCAGGCAGGAACAACAGGAAGGAGCGTTCTTCTGGAAGGAGACCTGGATGAGGCCAGGAAAGTGCCCAGGGACACAGCCCGAGAAGACACAGTGGGCAGAATGGGTCTTGTCTCTTGCTGTGTGTGTTGTGCACACCTAGGGGTGTGTGTGTGGAAGTATGTATGCACCTGCAGAGGAGATGTGGAGGGGGGTGCACACCTGGGAGTGTGTAAGAAGTGCACACCCGGGGGGTGTGAGTGCACCTGGAAGGATGGGCATTTGTGCATAAGTGCGCACATGCATGCACACACACCTGGCCCTGTACTGGGGTGGGGGGGCAGGAAGAGCCTACGCCTGTGGGCTTCTATAGGAAATCGGGAGTAAGAGTATCTGTAGCCAAGGCCCCTCTGCCGGGTGCTAGATCTGGGAAACTGCATGTTGGACTGGGGGTGGGGGTGACAGGTCAGTAGGGCAGCACCTTGGAGAGCGGACATAGCACACCTGTGTCTCTCTGCTGTTCCAGGGTGCTCAGAAGAGACCTCCCCACCAGGGAGGGCGATGAACCACTCCACTGAGACCTTGGTGACAGAATTCATCTTGCTGGGCTTCCCAGAGCTGTGCCACCTTCGGGGGCTGCTTTCCGGGTTATTCCTCACGATCTACCTGGTGACCATCCTGGAGAACCTGGTCATTGTGCTGACCATCCGAGCCAGCCAGCAGCTGCACACACCCATGTACTTCTTCCTGGCCAACCTGTCCGTGCTGGAGACCCTCTACACCTCGGTCACCGTCCCCAAGCTGCTGGCTGACCTCCTGGCACGGGTGAGGACCATCTCCTCCTCAGGATGCCTCACCCAGCTGTTTCTCTTCCTCTCGCTTGGCTCCTCTGAGTGCTTCCTCCCGGCCACCATGGCCTGTGACCGGCACCTGGCCATCTGTCGCCCGCTGCACTACCCAGCCACCATGAACTGGCTGCTCTGTCTGTGCCTGACCCTCAGCGCCTGGCTGGGCGGCTTCCTGGCCTCTTTCGTGTCCGTGGCTCTCATCTCCCGCCTCAGGTTCTGTGGCCCCAATGTCCTCAACCACTTCTTCTGCGACATCTCACCCCTGCTGTAGCTCTCCTGCTCTGACACCACTACCATCGAAATTCTGGACTTCGTGGCAGCCCTGGCTGTGCTCGCAACCTCCCTGCTGGTGACCATGGTCTCCTATGCACACATCCTGGTCACAGTGCTGAGGATCCCGGGCTGGGCCTGGCGCCAGAAAGCCTTCTCCACCTGTGCCTCCCACCTGGTGGTGGTGGCCACCTTCTTACTACACCACCACCATTTTCATGTATGCCCGGCCTCACACTGCCAGCTCCTTCGACATCAACAAGCTGGTGTCCGTGATCTACTCAGTTGTGACACCACTGCTCAACCCCATCATCTACTGCTTGCAGAATAGAGACGTCAGGGAGGCTCTGACCAAACTCCTCTGAGCCCCTGGTCCCTCCCGAGCACCATCTGCAGGAGGCAGAGCTCCCTAATGCCTCTCCTCTCATCTGCTCACAGCCTCCGGCCCGCCACCAGGCAGCCCACAGCTCTCTCACTCTGAGCCAGTGCTGCCAGGAACCCAGGGTGCCCATGAGAGCATCTGGACAAGCGGGGTAAAGGCGAAGCTTCCTGCCACCTCTCCCATCAGCACCTGAGGGGGAACAGCTCCTCAGCAGGGCCCTGAGCCCTGGAGGAGCACAGACCCCAGCTCCATTGTCACTCCCTTCCCCACCTGGGACAGGGCCAGATTCCATGGTGGCCAGCCCCACTTCCCGGCCCTCCTGGGTCCTACCTGCCCTGTTCCTGAGCCCACGTGGATGGCCTCCATGGCCTAAGCAACCAACCTCGGCCGGCCGGACAGTGAATGAAGTGTCTGGGCAAGGCCAGATGGTGCCGTAGGCCACACACTTGCCACCTTTCCTCAGAAACAGGAATGTCATTTGACTTAAAACTTGGTGGGTCTAGTGAGTAGGTGGCATGTCCATACTTGGCTTTTCTGCCTTTTCTTTGTTCTCTGGCACTTAGTGGCAGAAATTGGGTTGATCCAGCACCTTCCTTCTTACTGGGCTGCTGTCCCTGGTCAGGGAGAGTGGCTCTGACTCGAACCCATTGCTTCCCACACTCCAAGCCCTCCCCTGCCATGGCCCCAGGCGCGACGTGTTTGGTGTCCACCCTGGGACAGTACGCGTGTATCTGCAAGCGTGCCGGCTTGCTCGGCATTGAGAGTTTTGAATTCATGGAATGATTTGGTGCTGTAAATATTCTCTTACTGCGCTGCTTTATTATTTTGAGGTTATGTCATTAAGTACGTGAACTTTAGAACTGTGTTGTCCTCTTCCTAAATTTAACCTTTTGTCATTAAGAAGTGTTACTCTTTGTCTCCAGTGACACTTCTGCCTTCCTCCGTCAAGCTCCAAGTCCGCTCCGTCTGACGGCAGCAGAGCTGTGTCAGCCTCCCTTCCATTCATGGCTGCTTGTGTGACACTTTCTGCGCCTCTTGGCTTCTGACCAGTGCTGTCATCAGCTCTGTGAACCACACTTCTGGGTTGTCGGCTGCTCCCTACATCTGTGGAGAAATCAGCTTGTTTTTACTCCTTTTAGGTATTTGGGTTTCCCCCACTTCTGGAAGCTTTCAAGGTCTTCCGACAAGAAGTGTGGTGCCTGGTCCCCAGGCTGTGCTTTTCTCTGTCTTTATCGCATCTGGAGTGTGTGATGTTTCCAGAATTGTGCCTTGCCTCATCAGTTTTGAAAATGTCCAGCATGTGCCCCTCAACACTGCCTCTGCCCCAGCCCTTCGCTGCTCTCCTTTGGTTCCCCACATCCACATGGGGTCCCCATGGGTCCACGTGGGGCGGGCCTGCGGCAGCCTCCCTTATATGCCAGCAGCCTGTTGTCTTGCTTTCTCCCCGGGCTTTCTTCGGGGTTCTCCTCATCTTCCAGGTCACTAACCCTCCCTGGCCAAATCTAAGCTGCGCTTTTAAGTGTATCTTTTCAGTTCTAGAATTTCCATTTGGTTCTTTCCGTTTCCCACTCTCTGTCCCCTTCTCCGTGTTGTTCTATTCCTGTAGGCACATGTGTGTTCCGCCGTGAGTCTATCAGTGATCCTGGTTTGCCTGCGTGGCTGTTTCTTGCCCAGACTAGTAGTCTTATTGCCGTGACCTTTTATAGCGTCTTAATATCTGACAGGGTGTCCTTCTTCTTTGATCTTGTTTTTCAAAATGACTTATATGAGTACTTCTTTTACTTTTCCATATGGACTTTAGAAACCCTCGAGTTCTCTATGACGTTCCTCAGGCCGCCATAACAGAGTGCCATAGTTGGGATGGCTTAACACTAGAAACTCATGTTCTCATGGTTCTGGAGGCTGGAAGTCTGGGACAGCATGTGCACAGGGCTGGTTCCTTCTGAGGCCTCTCACCTTGGTTCACAGATGTCTGCCTTCTCCCTGTGTCCTCACGTGGCTGTCCCAGTGCTTGTCTGTCTCCTGATGTCCTCTTCTTGTAAGGACAGCAGTCAGATTAGATAAGGGCCTGCCTCCTAATCTCACTCTACCTTAATTACCTCTGTAAAGACCCCGTGTCCAAATACAGTCACATTCTGAGGTCCTAGGGGTCAGGCCTTCAATACAGGAATTGGGGGGCCAGGACTGTGCGTGAAGCAGCAGTTCGGAGCCTCTGGGAATCGAGAGGGTCTGATGGAAGCTAAGAGAGGTCACGTCACACCAACAAACCGGTCCCGTCAGGTCACGGTTGAAGAGGTCCTGCAGTCCACCCCTAGAGCCATCGGGAGAGCTGGGTGTCCCCAGGCGGAGTGGCTGGGTGGGGTATCCACAAAGATGGAGAGCAAAATGGCGCCACGTGAAGGAGTCCCAGGGTCATATCCAGCAGGGACCGGGAAGGCTGGCTGGCTGGGGCACCTTGCTGTGCAGTGGCCACCGGGAGGGCTCCCTGAGGGATCTGAGCAGTGGCACTGCAGGATGGTTAGAAGGTCACCCATTATCTCCTTTCTGGATACCCGAGGGCCCTGGAAAACCATCCTCTCCTCCAGGCGCCTCCCAGTGAAGAGCACTGGACACCAGGATCTAGGGCTCTGGGGCTGCCCTAGCATTTTGTGGCCCCTGTCTGGGACACTTCGCCAGGGGCAGGGATGAAGATAGGGAACCAGAGAGGGTGAGGAGGGTGGGAGAGGGGTGGAGTGTGAGAGGAGGTGGGGAGGAGGGGTGGAGTGAGGATGGAGGGGGTGGGGTGCTGGGTGCAGGAGAAAGGGGATGGGGTTGTGTGCCCACTGGGTGGTGGGGACAGAGTGGCGTGGACGCGAGTGGAATCAGGAGATGGGGTGGGGGGCCGGCGGGGTGGGGGTAGGAGTTCGGACGGGGTGCGGCGAGGACCAGGTGCTGGGAAGGGAGAGGGGCTGCGCGCTCCTCTCAGACTGCCTCTTTCTCCTCCCTTCCCGTCTCCCGGGGGATGAGCCTCCGCGTCTGCCCGCCCCCAATCCTAGGGCGGAGGCCTCGCGCACAACCCAGACTCCGCTCTCGGGTGCAGGGTCTCCGCCGCAGCCCGCTCCCTCCCGCCCTGCCGCGGCCCCTGGAGCAGCCGCTCCGGCCCGCGGTTCCGACAGAAGCCCGCGGCGGGTAAGGCCGGGCAACGGGATCCGCGCGCACCGGAAGGCTGGGGCGGGCACCTGCGGGGCTGGGGATGGAGGCGCCGCGTGACGATCGGAGGCCCCGGGAGGAGGGTCGAGCCGCTACCCGGATACCCCGCGCCCGGATTCGGCCCTGCGTCGCGTCCCGGTCCCCCGCCCCAGCTGCTCGGCCGAGCGGTCGTGGGTGGGGGTGGAGCGTGGTGCGGGGGTGGGGCGGGAGGGAGCTGTGCCCTGGGTCCCGGCCTGCGGGGGCGGGGTCTGCACTGTGTCACGGCGCGAGTCCCTGCGCCGGCCTGCGCCCGCGGTGAGGCCAGGACCCCCCCGCTCTGGGTCTGCGCGCTGTGCACGCTGCCCCCAAGGGCCGGAAGAGCCTGACAGAGGCACACGCTTCGTCCTTTCTCCAGACGGTGATCTGGGTCCTTGGGGACCCTCGGTCCCTGAGACTGTGTCCTTCAAGTACATCCCCCACCCCCGTGTGGCCTCTTGTCCCAAGCCGTGGAGGTTGTCCCACGGCAGCCCAGGATATGGGGCCCCCTCCCCCAGGCCTCAGGTCCCGACCGCAGGGAGTTCAGCACCCTCCGTTCTTTGCACCCACTCCAGCCCCAGGCACAGAATAACCCCGAGGTGCTCAACCCTCTCAACCTCCAGGTCACCCTTTCCTGGTTGCTGAACAGGACTCCCACCCTCTGTCTGGCCTGAACGCTGCTTCTCCCCGCCCACCCCAGCCCTGAGCCAGTCGCCCGCCAGATGCTGAGGGCTCCCTGTACTGCCAAATGCCGAGTCTCCTGTCCCCAAGCCCTGAGCCCGCTGGTCCCCCAGCCCGTGTCCAGGCCCTGAGCCCTTGTCCCCAGGCCCTGAGTCCCCTGGTCCCTAAGCCCCTGGCCCCAAAGCCCCTGGTCCCCTGATCCTCGCAGAAGCTGAGGTCCTTTCCCCGTTCTACCGCAGGTTTGCTCCACAAAGATGAACTGGACGGCAGCGACGTGCTGGGCCCTGCTGCTAGCCGCCACCTTCCTCTGCGACAGCGGTGCGGCCAAGGGTGGCCGTGGAGGGGCTCGCGGCAGCGCCAGGGGAGGGTTGCGCGGAAGCGCGCGCGGGGCCCCGAGGGTGCGCGTGAGACCGGTGCCCCGCTACGGAGGCTCCTCCCTGCGCGTGGCGGCAGCGGGGGCGGCGGCCGGGGCGGCCGGGGCGGCTGCGGGCCTGGCAGCGGGCGCCAGCTGGAGAAGGGCCCCGGGCCCGGGGGAACACGACCTGGAGGACGAGGACGCGGGACCAGGTGGCAACCGGACGGGCCAAGGCGTCTACAGCTACCGGGCATGGACTTCGGGCGCGGGGCCCACCAGCAGCCCCCACCTCTGCCTGCTGCTGGGCGGCGCTCTTGGCGCCCTGGGGCTGCTGCGGCCCTAGGCCCTACCGGGCTAGGGCAAGATCTGGCCCCCAGCCAGTGCCCTCCAGCAGGCCTCTCCAGCCTGCCCCAGAGACCTCCAGCCACTGAGCACCCCCTTCCCACCGCTGCCCACTGCCTCTGAACCAGGGAGCCCAGCTCCACCTCTCACCCAGAGGCAGCCTCCTACTCACAGCCCTGCTCAAGTTCCTCCCCAGCCTCCCCATTTCTCACCCTACCAGAGGCCCAGGGCCCATCAGCTCCAGGATGCCCCACCTACAACCAGGTCAGGGTCCTCCCCAGCCAGAAAGACGATGCCTGTGCTGCCATCATGACCAGCAGTCCAGCATCTCTCCCCAGCTGCCCAGAGAGATGTGCCAAACCAGGATGTTCAAGCCATCCCAGCTCCCTTGACCGCATCCTGGACCCTGACGGGGTGTGGACGTGCTGACCACTGAGCCAAGGGGTGGCCCTGAGGACACCGTGGCCCTCCCCCACAGCAGCAGCCAGTAGGGACCAAAGGCCTAGTGGCTCTGGGGAAGAAGGTTTCTCTCACAGGTTCTCGTGTGCCTACCACCTGTCCACAACAGGCAGTCTGGGGATTTCGGGGCCCACACGTGCCCATCATGGGTCTCTGGGTAATTCCCAGGGCACCCCTGCCACAGCAGCCACCCCAGAACCTTGCCAGCCCACCCTTGGGCCAGAGGTGTGCCCCCTCCCTGGACACTCTCAAGACCATGGACCCCTTGGGGCCACTTTGCTCCCACTTGAAACAAGTCACTCAACTCTTCTTGGGACCTATTTTGGGGGGGGAAAGCCACATTGTTTAACTTTCAAGAGCTTTTCCTTTCCTTTAAGGTTTAGGTTCACATTCTGGAATCAGTGCTCACTGGTCCTCAGGGACCGCACGGCCGCTCCCACTAAAGAGCCCTCCCGGGACAGCCAGCCGTGTTTCGGGCAGATCAGCAGCATGCGGCCCCCGGGGAAGGGGGGGTGTGAATGCGGCCGGCCCCGATCTCAAATCAGAACCAGCAACCAGCACGGCCACGAGGCAGGTCCCTGGAGGCGGACAGCGCCCAGGCCCAGCACCCGGCAGGCACAGCCAGATGCGAGAGTGCTCGGGCTCAGCAAAGCAAGGCCCCCGGAAGCCGAACCCCCACCAACACCTGTCTGAGCATCTGAGGCTGTGCTGGGGACAGGACAGACCCCCAGAGAGGCCTCTAAGGAAGTGCCAGGTGGGCCTGGCAAGGGTTTGCCTCTGGCGCCCAAGTACCCTCGGCAGAAAGCCAGTCCTTTGCTTCTCAGGCGCCCAGAGGCCCGTTTCCCTCAAGCCTCAGGCCTGGGTCACGGTCCACAAGCCCTGGGGGCCTTGGCTCTTTACCACTTCCTCCACTCCATATCCCACAGCAGGACAACCTCCCAGGCCCAGATCCTCTGGATCGCCCCGTCCTTCGGTGCTCACTGAAAGCCTCACCTGCCGCTGGGCTGCCTCCCAGAATATGCCCTCACACCCGCCCCTGGACCATGGGGCCTTCGGACTCAGCTGACCGATGCCAGCACCTCCCATGGGGGAGGGGGGAGAGGGCCTGCCCACTCTGCTTTCCCACAGCTGACACACAGGTCTGGTTAGGGTGAGGGTCTCCGAGCTACCAGCAGAACCCTGGACCAAGCATCACTCTCCAAAGGCCAGGACACAGAGCTGCAGGACACAGCTCTGCCTGTACCCACAGCGCCAGCCTTCTCGGGGCACAGCAGGCCCAGATGCCACTCCATCCATTCCAGATCACACCTGATGCGACCAAAGACCAGCATGGCGGAGCCCTGCCTGGGGCCTCAGGAGCCGTGCGACCAGCCTGCCGCTGCACCCGCGGGCAGGACAGCCTTGCCCAGGGACTCGGCTCTGTCTGAGGGGCCAGGAGCGGGGGCCCAGCCTGCCCGGCACCACGTGGTGGAGGTGGTGGAAACGGGACGCCCGAGTCAAGAGCTTCCATCACACACCAGCCTGATTCCGGGAATGTGTCCAGCACTCGGCACCGCCGCACGCTGGCGTACTTCCCGCTCTACTGGTCAGGGTTCCAGCGGGAAGCAGATGGTGCCCGGGGCCGGTCCCCTCAGGAGAGGCCAGTGTGTGCGCTCCGGGAGTGGGCACCTGCAGGAGGGGAGGTGCCCCACGGAGACTCTGGTGCTTCCAGGAAGGCCACGCCCCCACAGGACACCAGGTCCACCCCACCCCCTCCTTCCTCTGCCCTTTGCTGGAACGCAGGCTGGTAGGTCAAGGTCCCTGGGGAAGAGTCCCACCAACCTGTTAGCTTGAAGGTGCTCGGAGGCAGCAGGAAAGCTCTCGAGTCTCCACTGACCACACCAGCGACCATCGCAGCCCGTGCGCAGCTGGGGACAGACAGTCCGTGGGTTCTGCCACGGCTCCTGGAACCTCTGTCCATTTTGTGTGCACATTTTAGTCGTGTCGTGAAATAAACACTCTGTTGGCAAACAGATCCGTCTTTATTGCAGGACCCAGGGCATTAGGAGGACCTAACACGAGAGCCCCGACAACACGGCTCACATCCTGACTGTTCTGGCTGAGACACGGGCCTTAACATGTGGGCCCACAGTGCTACTGTGCACAACAAATGAGCCTCCAGCAGAGACAGGCCTTCTACAGCGCTTCAACTACAGACTGCGCTTCCAGCTCCGGAGAAAACGTCAGCTTCTCCCTAAGAGATACTCAGCAGGTGTGAGCCGCACAGGGACAGCTCCAACATGTCAGCAGTCCCAATGTCCAGCCCCCAGGCACCGTGCCCTGTGACCAGCAGCTGGCCAGGCTGTGGGGTGGCGGCAGGTACAGGCTCCTTCCTAGAGACGAGACCTGAGTACCGTACGGGGACCAGCATGGAGATTCTGGGAAAGGGAGTCCCAGCGTCAGCTTCTTGGGTGTGAGGATATCCCAATCTCTGGTGTCAAGGGCCAGGCTGGGGTGAGGCCCCTGCCAGCTGGACCCACTCAGGGGTCTGCCAAGGGGCGGCTCTGCAGGACATCCCTGTCCAGCATCACTGGGCCGAGCAGCCCGCTGCGGAAGGTCCGGAGGAAGTCTCGGGCTGCCGCGGGGTAGCTGGGCTGGATGACGTTCACGTCCCCTGGGGGAAACAAGACGGTCTGGGGAGGGAGGCCCGGGATTCAGACGCTCCCCTCCCTCCCATCCTCAGGGACTGGCGGTGGGAACCGGTGAAGCTTGGGCCCTAGGGCATATTCAGAAAGAAACTGGAGTCTGGACCGTGGCACCCAGACCTCAGGAGGCTCCCAAGGGGTAGGACACAGGGTGTACCCAGCGCGAGGCAGGGCCACCGTGCCCTCCTCCTCTCCAGGCTGGACCCCGAGTCCCCTCCTCTGCAGCACCTCAGTTTCCAAAACAGCCACGTGTGCCCACCACGCCCTCCCCGACAGCCGCAGCCGCTCCACAGGCTGGTTCTCCACGCCCAGCCCAGGGATGAGGCCTCCGCGTCTCACCTGTGCCTGTGAGCACCTTCACCTTCTGCGTCTTCCCCAGCCTCACAGCCACCCGCTTCAGCACACTGGCGACGTCATCACAGGCCCCGTCCAGGCCGTAGTGCTGCACGTACCTACACACACACCCACAGTCAGGGACAGCCAGAGCTGACCGGTGCTGGGCCATGCCCAGCTCTAGCAAGGACCCCTCCCATGGTCCCTGCCCTCGGCCGGCCATGGCCAGGTGCCCTAAGGCCAGCTTCCCCGCAGGAGCCCGTGGCTGCAACATCCACCCCATCCCTGAGCAGACTGGTGGCCTGGAGCCCTGGGTCAGCACGGCCAGCCACCAGAGGCAGCCGCACGAGGCCAGGAGCACCAGGATCACCAGCACTCTCTCCAGTGGAGAAGGCAGAGGTGTGCCTGGAGTTTTCTACAGCCCACGGACCAGCAGACAGCGCCCACCACTGCTGAGAACCGCCCGATGGCCCCCGTGAGACCCCTGTCCCACACAACTCCGGCTCTGGGCCTGATGAGGGAGGCCAGCACGGGGCCGGCACGGCCTACCCTGAAGGGCTGAAGGAGAAAAACCTCACCCACAGCCAAGCACCTGCCGAACCCCAGGGCCCGGGAAACTCTAGCCTGGACCTCCCCCCAGGCAGAGGAGACAGTGGATCTGCCCCACGGTCCACAGTGGGGAGCGGGGCTCAGGCACGAGCAAAGTAAGACACGGACCCAGCCCCCACGTGGGCATCAGAGTGCCCATCTCAGAGGGGTCTGAACCCTGAGAACGCAGGTCCCAAGTCCAGCTTCCGAGGGCGGCAGCCCCACAAGGCTTCTGTCCTGACGATCTTGAGAGCTGTCCCCGGAGAGCGCTCTCGCTAACGCAGCCGGGAGTGGCCGCACGCAGGGCCTCTGGAAATTCTCTAGAAACGCTGCAGGACTGCAGATGCCCAAACAGACTCCCACACAAATGAGGCAAAAAAATTAATTTGAAATTCTACCTCCATGCAAAAGAGAGTAACAGGAACTGAATTTACCTCCCCTGAAACAACCAAAGACACACAAAACAGTTTTCAAGGCACCAGGCATCAAGCTATGAAGAACATAAACAGGGACCCGGCACTGTCCTGCTCGGCACCTCGGGACCCCACAGGGCCCAGAGGGCTGCTGGAGCGGAGACACCAGCAGCTGAACCAGAGAGAGCAGAGCTGCCCGCAGAGAGAATGCCGGAACTCTGCTAGCCTCCATGTTTAGCAGATGAGGGCTCAGCACACGTGAGAAAGGGGATCCTCCGAAGCCAGAGGCCGGGCAAGACCGCCAGCAGGGCAGAGGGACACTGGCCCACACTCACACAGAGCCAGGAGCAGGTGGATGGGACACAGGGCAGGGGAGGGCGTCGTCCCATGCGGGGCAATGGCTCCAGACCCACAGGCCTGGAAGGAACTGCTTCCAGACAGTCGTCCCAAGTGAAGCTCAAGGATTCGTGCAGGAACTGGAAGACGCCTGTCACCCAAAGAGAGAGAAGTCCAAACGCCCAGCAGCCAGGCGTCCACCATGACGCACGGACAGTGGGGAACAGACTCATCATGAGGAGGAAAGCCATTCGCCGAAACCGTCCCAGACGTCAGGGTTAGCCGAGATGGCAGAGCGGTTTGTGTGACCATGGCCCACGTGTTACGAACTCAAGAAACACAGACCATGTGACACGCGCTGTGAGACACACACTGGGGGCATGAGCAGCAGGTCAGACATGCAGGGGTGCAGGTGCGTGGCCAACACGCGGGCATCAAGTCCTGAGGACAGGAGAAGGCAGTCGCTGAAAACACAGGAAGAAACTGTGGTCGAAAATCTGAGAAAAGCTCCAAAGCCGCAGACCCGAGAGCACAACAAACTCTCAGCTCAAGAAACGAGAAGCAAGCCGCGGCCATAAAACCAGCTAGAGGAAGAGAGACAGACATGACCCACTACTCATCGGAAACAGGTGAGAACAGGGTGGGCCAACCTCTTTCCAGTCCTGGAAACAGCTGTCCATCGGCCTTTCACGCTCAGTGCAAGTATCTTTCCAAAATGAGCGTGAAAGAAAGACGTCTCTGAACAACCCCAACGTGACCGTTCAGCAGCACACGCGCTGCGAGAGGCGTGACGGGAAACCCTCTGCCAGAGGACAGCGCACGGGGCCCGGACCCACGCCAGGGAGCGCGCGGCACCCATGAAACACCAAGCATCGGATCAACAGCCAAGGTCTGTTTCTTACGCTTGAAGTCTCCGTAAAAGCCAAACGCTGAAGCTCAGGCTTACAAGACGCATCCCAGTAAGACACAGAACAGCAAGAGCCCACAGATGCAGCGAGGACCGGAGACACACCGGCGTACAGAGCCTGCACTCGAGACACGCTCTGGTGTCACTCAGAGCTGCTCCTCAAACACCCAGGCAACCCCGCTAGGAGTTACAGACGACAGGCTGACAGAGGGGACAGAGGGACATCGTAACGTCCAATTCATCCAGGAGAGGGACGGAGGGAGGGAGAGAGGCAGGCGGATGCTGAGCAAGAGGAAAGGGAACGACGGACGGAGCAGACGGCGAGACAACAAATTTGGGTTTTTTTAAGATTTTATTTATTTGAGGAGCACTTGGGTGGCTGTCATCGGGAGTCTGCCTTCGTCTCAGGTCATGATCCCAGGATTCTGGGATTGAGCCCCGCATCAGGCTCCCTGCTTGGTGGGAGCCTGCTTCTCTCTCTCCCTCTGCCCCTGTTTGCGTTCCTCTCTCGCTGTCCCTGTCATAAATAAATAAAATCTTTAAAAAAAAAAAAAAAAGTTTTATTTATTTGAGAGAGTGTGAAAGAGAGAGCCAAGCAGGGGGAACAGCAGGCAGAGGGAGAGGGGGAAGCAGGCCTCCCGCCGAGCAGGGAGCCCCATGCAGAGCTCGATCCCAGGACTCCAGGATCATGATCTGAGCCAAAGCCAGATGCTTAACAACTGAGCCACCCGGGTGCCCCCATAAAATGGCAAGTTTGACCTGAAAACAATAATCACATTACATGTAAATAGTGCAAAGACTTAAAGTAAAAAACAGAAATGGTCAGACTGGATAAGAAACAAGACCTCACTGTACGCAGCCTGCAAGAAACACATTTTTAACATAAAGACACAATTAAAGCACAAAGTGAAAGGAGAAGCAAAGGGTCACCACGTTAACACGAAGAGCTGGTCACCGCGTCCCTGCCAGACGAGGCAGATGTCCGAGCAGAGAAAGCTGCCAGGACCACGATGGCCCTTCTGAGCGACGAGGGCATCAAATCAGGGGGACACGAGGACCCAAAGACTGTCCCCTGCACCTCCCAGCACAGCTTCAGAGTGCGTGAAGCAGACACACAGAGCCGCAAGGACAGACAGACCAGCCACAGGCAGAGACGTCAGTACCTTCTCTCGGCACCTGGCGGCAGAAACAGAAGGAAAGCCGGCAAAGCAGAAAAGGAACAGGAAAGATGGAACAGTAACCGATGAACTAAAAGACAGAAAGACAACGGAGAAAGTCACCGTGACCAAAAGCGCTTGGTAGAAATCAGTAAAAATGACGAGCGTCCGCGGCACTGAGGCCTCAACGCAACACAGGACGTCCAGGGAACTCCCAGCTCCCCGCACCCCCTGGCGAGAACAAACGGCGCATCAGTCTGTACCACAGAACACGGTGCGGCAGCCGCCAGGAAGGAGAGACACGCGGCGCGACACGGGCCACGACACGCGGCGCGGCACGGAGCAGTCTGGGAGCTGTCTTATCGAGCGCGGGGAACCACACTGTGGGACTCCATTCCTAGGACGTTCGAGGACAGGACAGAAGGCAGACAGCCACCAGCTGTGGCATGCGGGGTCAGGAGACCGTCTATAAAACGGGAGCCGGAGGGTAGGGAGGAGCCGTCCCCAAAGAGCACGAAAATTGGGGGTTTTCTTGACTGTGTAAGAGTCAAGGGTGTCACACGGCACAGAACGTGCAGTTTATCTAAGAACACGGGAATGCTGCTGTTTTCCTTAATGATGTCTGTCCAGGATGAGAGAGGACGGCCTGCCCAGCCCCCAACCCTCCACTCACCCAAAGAGCTGGTGCCTGTTGAGGGTGTAGAGAAGGTAGTCGGCCAGGGTCTCCTCCCCCACCAGGTGGTCCAGCACGGTTCCTGGAACCAGGAGGCCAGGCTGAGCCCCGCAGATCCGCCCGGCCTTGGCACTCAAGCGACCCCTCCCTGCTCAGCCTGAGACGCTGCGGCTCCTGGAAGCCCTGCCTCGGCGGTAAGCTCTCCAGACCTCGGTCTGCGGTCTGCGGGGTGAGAGCAGGGGCTGGCCCGCATCAGCTGGCCCACTTAGAGCAGGCACAACCCGTCAGGCCCAGCGGCAGGAGGGGGCGCAAAGGGGGCCCTGACTCACCGCACAGGGCCAGCTTCAGGCCCATCTCCACACTTTCAATCCGAGGGGACAGCACCCCAGGAGTGTCCAGCAGGAACATCAGTGGCCGGTCACACACCTGTAGACACAGAGGGCAGTCCGGCCAGCCGCCCCCTCCAGGTGCTCTGCTGGGTGGCCCCCAGAGCCAGGCTGCTAGGTTCTGAGGCTCTGAGGAGGTTCTGGGGCCCCATCCCAAAGGGTTCGTCCTTTTCAGGAAGCTCTCGGCTTCCCCACACCATCAGTTCCCACTGAGTTTGGAGAATAAATCCGGGCAATAGGTTCTCCTCCCAGGGCGTAAAGGGCGCGTGTGGACAGGCTGAGCTAAGCCTGGGAGAACAGGCCACCGTGTGACCTTGGGCAGGTGCTCGGCTCCCTCCTCCATAAAACAGGGGTGAGAGCGCACCCTCCCCCGGGTTTGATGTAAGGGCCCTCAGTGTGTGGCACATGGCTAGCGCTCAGGGAGAGCAGAGTGGAGAAGACAGGCCGCCCCACAGCCCTCGGGAAGCACCAGGCGTGTGTGTGCGGCACTCGAGACCCGGCAGCCGAGCCCCCTACCTGAATTCTGGACATCACAGCTCTGGTGATCCCGGGCTCGCCGCCGACCCTGGTAGCTTTTCCTGAAGGATGGAAACGGGCCGTCAAAGGTAGTCACACACAAAGCCTGGCACACAGGCTACCGGGTAAGAAATGATACACAAGGAACCCTACGAAGGCCCACAGGGGCTTGGGCTTGAGTCAACTCCAAACCAGCTCACAGCAGTGACTCTTCCACCAAAACTTCTTCCAAACACCTAGAAAGGTGCTCCAGGACCTGCCCAGGGACCAGCAGACAAGCACCTGACCGTGAAGGTCCCAAGAGAGCTCTCATGTCAGCACGCCAGCTGCCGCCTCCAGGACCTGACCCCATGCCCGACGCCAACCCTGCACGCTGCAAGTCCGTCCCCACAGCGCTGCCCGCGACAGGCCTGTGAGCTGAGTTCCTGTCCAGGGGGCCCAGTCAGCTCCAGAGTAAAGAGATCCAAGTGTCTGCCAGGCGTGCGTGGAAAAGCAAATTGTGGTCCAGAAACCCAACAGAGTATTACTCAGCCTTGGAAAGAAGGAAATCCTGCGGCAGCCGCAGGACGGACCCGAGGACATTAGGCTGACCACTAGCGCTGTCAGAAGGTCCAGACAGAAAGCACATTACTGGTGCCCAGGGCTGGTTAGGGTCTGTTTAAAGACTTCCAGCTGGAGACAATGGAAAAGTCTAGAATAGTGGGATGGATGGACAGCACTGAATATACTTCCTGCCACAGTGTTTATAAAAGCTATAATTAAAAAAATAAACTTAGAACAGAGAGTTTGGTGAGTCTGCAATGAGCACCGAAAACACCACCTGCAGACTAGCGGTTCAGGTCCACCGGGCTGGGGTCCGTGCACGGGCAGAGCGCCCATCACGGGTCTGGAGAGCAAGGCTAGCACGGCTCTGGCGCTAACCCTGCAAACCCTGAGCGCAACAGAAGCACAGCGAGCGGGCGAGCGTAACAGGCGCGTCTGCGCAACCCTAACACCGGGCGAGCACAGTCCGGAGGCGCCCGGGAGCTCCCGAGCCAGGAGGCAGATTTCCAGCTGGAGAGGGGCCTTCACCAAATGTCTCCTGCCTGACATCAGGTCCCATGTGTGCAGTGGCGGCCTGAGACCTCGGTGAGGACAAGACCACCAGAGAGTAGAGAAGTCATCCCCGCGTCAAACACCAACATCTCACGTTTGGGAAAGAAAGTACATTCAGTATAAGACGGGTAACAGGATGACTCTGTGTCACCACTTAACCTCACATCGGACACTTCACTGGGTCCTTTCAGGGCAGAGACAACCCCGAGGGCCGTGAGGCTCTGGCTATGGCAGTGTTGTCTGTTGTCGGGACTGAGACAACTGCTCGCCAGGGAGATGAAGGGCAGCAGCAGCAAAGGCAGGACCTTTCCCGAGGTGCTGTCTCCTGAGTGCGTTGATGAGTGAGGACTTGCCCACGTTGGGGATCCCAATCACCATGGCACAGTACTCCACGTTCTGCCAAGGCACAAGAGCAGGGAGTCAGGGGTCCACCCAGACCACCCATGGCCTCCTGTGGCCCATGCTGGGGGCCCCACAAGCCCAGGTTTGTGTTCAGGGGGAGGAAGACCAGGGTGGAGGCCCCGCCCGCCTCAGCAGGGCCACCCACCCTTCCTGCTGCGAGAAAAAGAACACGCAGGGCAGCTGCCCCTGCCCCCCCAGGCACCTGCAGCAGCAGAGAGAGAACCCCAAGGGGTCATGGCCCAGCACAAGGACTGCTCAGCCACTGCTAGCCACTGAGCCTTGACCCCTCAGCAGGAGGCACCAGCCCACAACCAACCTCTCCTCGATGATAGCGGTAGCTGCCCTCAACCAGTCCTCTGACCAGCGGCATGACCTGCAAAGCACAAACACCCAGACACTGGCTTTTTCTGGACTTCCGGGTGGCGTCCGCCCAGGTCCAGCATCAGGGAAGCAGGGCTGTCCACATCAGGACTTAGAGTGTGCTGGGGCCCAGGGATGGCGGGAGGCGGTGACCTGTGCCCCATCCTGTCCGTCCACCATCAGTGAGTGGGTCAGGCCCCCAGCGGGCGACAGCTCTGACCGCAGCCACTCCAGCCAAGCTGCCTATCAGCCAGTGAAATGATCCTCCAAATACGGCTGCAGACACGAGGCCCCAGACCCGCCAGAAGCCTGTGGGAGCCACGGCCCCGAGAGCAAACGACAGCCGCGCTGCACCCCTCGGACCGTCACAGGCTGCCCAGAGCCCACTTGCTCTCGCCCGGAGAGGAGCGTGCCCCCGGGCCCCCAGCAAACCCTGGACTGTCTCGAAACTCTGCTTCTTATAATAACATGAGATAACCTGTGGGATTTCTTAAATGTATTTAAGTGAAAGCACTGGAGAGTGAAACAGAGGGGCGCCTACCTGCTTGATATTCTCATCCTTTACACAGTTGGTGAAAACAACATTTTTTAGGCCTTCTCCTTCTAAATGTTGTATAATTTTCTGAAAGAGAATATTTCCATTTTATACAGTAAATGCAAATACGGGTGGTATACTATGCTAAGATCCAAGGATCTGAGACTGATCCCACCCCCACCCCCGCCACAGGCCAGGCTGTTCCCTGGCTTGGAGCCACCGCAGCAGGGTCTGGAGATGTGTCGGGCTGTGGGGGGGGGGGGGTGAGGGGGCAGGCGGTGCAGGCGCGGGAGCCCCTGGGAGTGTGAGGGTGAGGGTTAGGGTTAGGAGGCCCTGGGAGGGCAGGAGGGAGGTGTCCCAGTCAGGGGCCCTTGTACTCCGGGCTCCAGCAGGGACGAGGGTTCAGCACAGACATCACCTGCCTCTTGGGACTCAGGACCTTCGTGTGCAAGGGGCCACTTCCAGCAGCAAACAGCCCATTACACCTGAGTGTTCTGCCCAGCCCCCCTGTAAACTGAGGCATGACCCAAATCCAATCACAGAACATATCTGATGTTCTAAAAGCCCAAAGGTAACCTAAGGTTAATATGAAGTTGCCGGTCTCAGCATTAAGCAAAAGCAGTGTAGGAACCGTGTTTTTTAAACCAGTATGATGACGTTCGGCTAAACATATGGTTGATGCCTAAATGAACAAAAAGTCACTCACTAGTTCAGGTTTGTATTTTAGTTATTTGCTGGGTGATGCAGGTTAAGACACAGGCCACAGCAGACACATTTGAAGCCACGCTTGGAAGTACATAAATTCACAACACTGTGCTGACCCAGCACTCTAGGTAGACACGAGGGGCGTCCACGCGGGGCTCCACCCCTCCTCTCCAGGACCTCTGCCACAGCAGCACCTGAGAACAGCTCCCAGCCCGGGGAGACCCCGCTGTGGTCCTACAGTAGGTCACATCAGCGCCCAGCACTCTACAGAAATTAACATTTAAGGGCAGAAGCCATCACTGATTAAGACTCAAATCTCAACCAATAAAAGCAAAGCTTGTGATTAAATGACTACATGTGCACATGCACGGAGACCCACAGACACCCAGCTCCCGGAGGGCCTGAGCTGCCCCATCTGCACAGCGCGAAGGCTTGAAATGACCCCAGGTGCCTGCACCTGGGTGAGGGTCACTGCCGCTTGGATTCTCGACGAACAACTCTGGTGGCTTCCGTGTTGGATGTCTCCCTGGAAACCTGGAAACAGAGGCTTGTGGCTGGGGCTTACGTAACTCAAACATGCCACAATCAACAAGGAAACCTGAACCCAGGGGCGCCTGGGGGTCTCGGTCTGTTGAGCGTCTGACTCTTGGTTTTGGCTCAGGTCATGATCTCAGGGTCCTGGGATCGAGTCCCTCATCAGCTCCCTCCTCAATGGGAAACCTGCTTCTCCCTCTGCTTCTCCACCCCCAATCCCACTTGTGATCTCTGTCTCTCTCAAATAAGTAAACGAAAGGAAAGAAAAAAGAAATAATGGTTTTTAAAAACAAGAAAAGAAACCTAAACAACATTCTGGAAACAAAGAGCAAACTGCACCACTGACACCCTGACAGCAGCCGGGCTGCGACCCACAAGGCTTTGGTGCCAGCCCTTTGGGCAGGAAGAGCAGAGGAGAGTGCTTGAAAACAACATGTCCAGACCTCCATGTTTCTCGAACTTCTGCAACACATGGGAAAGCCCTGCCCTCGGTCACCTGGTGCCTCGTGTCCCCGATCCTGCCTACTTTGAAGAAGTCCCTTTGGGCCTCCCCACCCTTCTAGTTTCCAGCTCAGTGGCTATGCGGGGCTGGCCGGCTGGTGTGGGCGCCTGGGGCAAGCGCGGCCGTCACGGGAGACCTCCAGGTCAGTACCTGTGGCCTGAGCCTGTGGCCACTGGCCTCACACAGCCACTGAAATGTAGCTCATCCAAATGACGTAAACTGTGAACGTGCGGCAGCAACAGGAGCCACATGTCAAGTGCTCCCTGCCAGATGGGCCAGAGGCCACACGGTGGGGCATGGGACTCGGGCCCCACAGCCTGGCCACATCCCATGAGAGAGGTGCACCTTGGTCTTCTGGACTGTAGACACAGAGGGAGAATTGTCATTCTGAGAAACCGCGTGGAACAACTTTGCAAACAAAGTGCTGTTTGCCGAAGCAAGCCTGTCCCGGGAACCAGCCCCGCGCGCCTGCAATCCCAGACGCGGGAGCCCTGACGCGGACCGCGCCCGGACGGGCACCTTCACCTGCTGCTCCTTCAGATCCGCCAAGTCCATTTTGTTGAGGACCAGCACGTGCGGCTTAAGCCCAAGAGTTTCCTGAAACAGAGGATTGCGGCCGGAAAGTGGAATGTGGTAAAATTAAGGAAAAAACCCGTCAGTGCTTTCCCAGCCCATTAATTTATCTCATGCACCTTGTTACCCAGACTGACGCCACCTTCAGAAGGAAATCTGTAGAAGGGACTGAGCAGAGCAGGAAGCCCAGTCTCGGCCCGGCCAGCCCAGCCCCACACTCCCCACACTCCCCGCCGGCTGGAGAGAAGGACACCTCGTCGCAGCCACGTTCCCACCGCAGACATGCAGGACAGCGGCTCCCGCGTGCCTTCCCAAACGGGAACGACGGGGCAGACAGAAGGCGAAGCTCAGTGAGAGGCTTCAGAACTGGCTCTTCGTTCAGCTACCAAGGTGCAGAAGTCCAAAATGAATGATGTGACCACCCTACGGTGCAGCCAGTACTGCCCTAACCAGTTGACCTCCCACCGCTGCCGCCCTCTGGTGACTGCCAAGGAGATGAGGGTCCCCCGTGGAAACCACCCCTGAAGGTTCTGCCTCCTCGCCAGCACTGTCGGGCCCTTCCGCCCTCAGCCAGGGACCCTTAGGGAATCAGGACGGGTCCCGCCTCATGGGACCCGAACACGGGCAGAAGGACGGCCCCTAGTTATCCTCTGAACACTCAGCCGCTACCGCTGCTCCGTCTCCTACTGAGTCCAGGTGTGAGATCCCCAAGGCCTCCAGCACACCCTGGGTCTGGACACCTGTTAAGGGCTGTGCCCTCACCCACACAAAAGGACTTTCCGCAAATCTCACTCTTCGCTCAAGGGTTAAGCAATACCAAAAGCCCAGACTCCATCCCAGGGTCCCTAACGCAGCCTAGGTCTCCTTGCCATGTCCTGGGGGAAAAGACAGAGGTCTAGAAACCAAAAGGACAGATGTCCACTCGCTGCACAGTAACAACTATAGCTTTGTTGTTTTTGCTAATCAAACACAGGACTGCCAGCAAACACTTCTGCCCTGCATGGGATATCCTGTAAACCGACATATTTAGCCTACAGTAAGTAAACCTGACATCTTATTACAAAAGTTCCAGAGTCTGAAATAGTGGAAAACGGTCCCTCATCTGACATTCCTGAGCTGATAACAACTCTCACAGCAACACCTTCATCACGTAAAGAGAACCCAAACATACTCAAATACAATAAAAACAAGGTCTGAAAAGTGCATTCGTTACTGAACAAGATCACCGGGTCTTGCCAATGCATGCCTCAGGCCCGGAGGAAAATCTCACTGGCCAGCACGCTTACGTGAAGCTTGCATACGTCACCTAGGGGAACCCACTGCTGGACTGGACTGGAAGGTCTGGGTGTGCCAGGCAGAGGTCAGAACAAAGATGCTGCCCTACGCACCAATGCAGAGTGTCAAAAGACACAGGCCTGGACCCCACGCCAGAGATGCTGGTTAACTGGTCTGGAAAGGGGCCCAGACCAGGATTTTTTAAAGCCTGCTGGAGAAACCCTAGCGTGTAATGAGAGCTGAGAACCACTGCTTCAAGTGCCAGTAACTGAGAGGCGAGGGCACCAGCCTGGTACAGCAGACCAGAGCAGAGACCGGAAGAGGAGGCAGACGCAGACCAGGTAACACCAGGAATGCCTCCTGCTGCCTGAGCACCATGCGACCCAGGACGAAGGGCCTCCTCTTCCCACTAGGGTGCCGCACCCAGTTCTGGGAGAGTTGGAAGCAAGAGGTCTCACGCCATAAGCAACTCTGTGACACCAGCTGCATGTCCTATAATTCAACTCAACTCGAACACTATCTACATGGAGAAAGAGTCAGATCCCACAGGCTAGGGGCTCAGTCCCACACATGCCCCAAGGTGCCTATCACAGTCCAGGCCATCACCTGTGCTTCTGACCCACAACCCCTCCTTGGATTCAGTGAGTTTGCCAGAGTGGCTCACGGAACTCAGAGAAAACTTTACTTACGAGATTACTGGCTCGCTACAAAATGACGACTCAGGAATAGCCAGATTCCGCCACATACGTACAAGGCCGTGTTATGCAGGATGGAGCACAGAGCCTCCATGCCCTACCTGTGCCACCCGGGCCGCCCGGGCGGCTCAGTCAGTTAAGCATCCAACTGTCCATTTCAGCTCCGGTCGTGAGATCAAGCCCTGTATCAGGCTCAGCACTCAGTGCAGAGTCAGCTTGAGACCCCCTCTCCCTCTCCCCCTCCCAGCCAGTACTTGCATGTGTGCCACACCCCCCTTCTAAATAAAATCTTTTTTTTTTTTTTAATAATAAACACGCCCCTCTCCCTCTATATCCACGTTTGCGAACCCAGAAGATCTCCAAACCTTTTTAGGTCTTAATTGAGGCTTCATTATGCAGGGCTGATTAATTAAATCATTGGCCATCAGCAATCAATCCAACCTCCAACCCCACACCCTCCCAAAGGTCAGGGGGTCCGGGGGTGGAACCAAAAGCTCCACTCCTCCAACGGCAGGACTGTTTCACGGGCAACCAACCCTCAAACCTAGGTGACTTAGTGGCTTTCCAAAAGTCACCCCATCGACAGACACCTTTATCCCTCTCATCACTTGGGAAATACCCAGGGCTTTAAGAGCTCTGTGCCAGAAACAGGGACAAAGACCCAACATACACGTATTTCTTTTCCCACGTCACAGGATCACAACCACGGAAGGATATCCGGGCGTCATGGACCTCGATGATACAGTCCACCAGCTTCAGGCGGCTCTGCATCTTCTTCAGCCCTGGAAAACAGAAGGGGCCTAATGGGTTTAGCCAGGACAGGTTTAAGGGGCACCTGGGTGGCTCAGTTGGTTGAGCGACTGCCTTCAGCTCAGGTCATGACCCCGGAGTCCCCAGGATCGAGTCCCGCATCGGGCTCCCAGCTCCATGGGGAGTCTGCTTCTCCTTCTGACCTTCTCCCTCTCGTGCTCTCACTCTCTCAAATAAATAAACAAAATCTTTAAAAAATAATAATAAATAGGATAGCTTTAAACCCAGCGGTCACGAATGACACGCCACCACAAACCACCCAGAAAAGAATCCATCTGAGGGACGTGTCCTGAGTCGCGTGAGGGAAAAGTGCCCGCTGAGTGCCTCCTTCCCGTTCAACAGCGGGGCTTCCGGGGCCTCCGGAAAGGGACAGCAGCACGTCTGACAGCACGTCTGACAGCAGCACGTCCTGAGGGGCAGCAGCACGTCTGGGCCCCACCCCCTGGGGTGGTTAACCTCTGCGGGTGTGGGTCTCAGCTACAGAAGCAGCACCCCGGCCTCCGCGACGCGCTGGGCCCTCCACGCTGCACGCAGGTGCTGCTGCCCAGGGATCCCCTCGGCCACTCCCGCGGCCCCCTCCGCCCCCGCCCAGGAGCCACACAAGGAAAGGAGCAGCGACGGCACCGCTCAGCGCCCCTCACGCCGCCACGCCGGGGCTTCGAGGGCGCCCTGGAGCACCGCACAGCCCCACCGCGCGCACCGCGGGAGCCGGAGCCGACCTCGGGACACGGACTGCGCGGCCCCCGGCCCCGTGCACCGCGGGCGCCCGAGCGCGCCAAGGGAGCGGCGCAGGAGCGGCCACCGCGGCCGGAGGCCCAGGGCTCCCCGACCGGCCGTTCGGCCAGGAAGGGCCTCCTAGGGCGGTCTGGTGGGACAGCGAGACCCTGCGCGGTAAACGTGCTGCGGTGACCACGCGGCTCGGAGAGGACCCGCCGCGGCCACTGCGCTTCGTCCCCAACGTCCGAGCCGGAACGCGTCCCCGTGTGGCGACGGGGCGACGGAGGCTTCGGGAAATACGGCGGCGAAGGGACCTGCTGGGACCCAGGGCCACCCCAGGGCACGCCTGCCGTCCCCCGCCGCCGCCCGCCCCACGCGCGGTCAGCCCGCCGAGCCAACGGTGCTGGGGACGCGGGCGGGCGGGGACGCCGGGGCCGCCGGGGCCGGACGCCGGGGCCGCACTCGCGGGCAGACGGACCCCCGCGCCGCGCGCCTCACCCTTTGCCATGTGTCCCGGGAACCAGCGCGCCACGTCCCGACCGCCCAGCGGGAAGCTCTCTCGCCAGGCGGCCCCGGCGGCGCCGCAGAGCGCGTGCAAGGCCACCCGCATGGCGCCGTGTCCCCAGCACAGCGAGGCGCGGGGGGACCGCTCCGGCGACGGACCTCCCCGCCCGCCCCAGGACCCGGCCCTGCAGTTCCGGCGCTTCAGGGGCCGCTGGGCAACT